CTTCAATCGCATCCCCGCACCTCCTAGACAACCCTCCAGCATGAATGGTGAGTTCTGGCCGAGATGAATGCATTTCAGGTTCGACGTGCTTGCCAAGTTTGCGCAAGAAGCCGTACCGTATAAAATACGTCAAGTCGGAGAAAAGGATGGGGTACAAGCAGTTGCCTTGGGTCTGGCTGCAGACGAACTTGCAAGTGGCCATCTCATGCTAGGAGCCTAAGCACCTTGCACCTTATCGTTATCCCTCCATGTGATGTAGCAGCGGCGTGCCTTTGACCAGTACATCTCCAGGCACAACGAGAAACCGGCTTATCTCTTCCACATCCACCGAGGTCACAAACGACGGGAGCTGAACTGCGTTCGGCACAGGCACTTAGGGCCATCCATAGCAGAGCCAGGAGAGTCGCGGCATCCATCCTTGCTAAAAGCACGGCGGAGGGGCAGAGATAAACCATGAAAGTGGGCTGAGCTCGTCGTACCCATCATCTAACCGTTTCCCCAGCTGATGCCATGGCACTGAGGCACTGCTGTGCGCCGCCAGGGTCCTCGAGGGATGCTCAACAAGCCTTGTCCCTCAAAGCTGCACATGCCCAGCGCACCTCGCCCACAGCCTCTTCTCATGGGTGAAAAGACAATCTGGTGCTTAGTAGGGAATGGGGGGGAATGGATCCCTATGATAGTCTCTTAAGGTCCCTTATAGTAGTCCCTATAACCCATTCCTCCATTCCCTAGTAAGTAAGCACCAGACAGAAGATCATGGCAAGCGCTGCCGCAAAGGGCAGGGCTCCTGGCTTTGCAGGCAGCAGCTGCCGCTTCTGCCCTGCGGGAATGCTTGCCTCATACCTCGGACAACAGGGCACATGTGGAGAAGCACCAGTCTCAGGCGAAATCTACATTGATGATGAGCCCGGTTTTTGCTTATACCGAGCCACCAAGGTCCTTCAAGCTATCACCCGACACAAGTAACAATCAGTTGTCAGCGACCAACTCAGAAGAAGATTTTCCCGTAGAGCCTTGTGTCCAGAACACAGCCCTAGCTTGCACGGCTCAGCCTCAGCCAAACCTCCTTTGTGGGATACGCATTATCCTCATTGCACTACCACTAAACGGACGAAGGTAACCTAGTCGACAGTTCTCTGGCGTTGAGACATGCCGCTGGCACAGCAGGTCCAGGTATTGGAACCACAGGATCTTGCCAGCGTGCCTCAGCGGAGCAAGCGATCGAAGCCAGTAGCCGAAACCTCATGATGATGAGCTTCCAACAGCCTGCCACCCGGAGACAGTCAACTACCAATACCCTTCGGCCACGGAACGTTCCTTACATGTCCAGTCGTATTTCTCCTGATTGAATGGCTTAATCCATGTTTCGCCCCAAGGGACAGCAGGGTATCAGTGGAGATGCCCAGGATGGGCCCTGAAGCCGGGCAGCAAGCGATGGGAGGCTTGGCTCTACAAAGTACACAATTCCTTCTTCACCCGAAAGCCCAAAATTCCTGAAATGCCAGCACGTCGGAGAAGCTCTTCCAAAGCAATGTGCTGGCCTAGACAGCAGCACTGGAGCCTGATAGTTGCAGCATCTGAAGGAAGATGAACTGCATCTTGGCACCTCGCGTCCTCAGACGTCAGACGTCAGAATTCAATCCCAATGTCCGCCAGCCTGAAAAGCCACTTTGTGCTTTAGAGCCCACTATAATCGCTGCACCTTGCTCCTGTTACAGGTCCAGCCAACAAACTTCACCCCTGTGAAGCAGAACCCTGGACCCAATAAGTCTCTGTCAGCTGGACTGAAAACTTATACCCCCCAGAGAACCCAATACCCCTTAATTAAGGAATATACCTTAAACTATAGGGGGCTTCATATTATGATTTAAGGTATATTCCTGAATTAAGGGGTATTGGGTTCTCTGGGCCTGAACGCCGTTGCGCCAAAGGACAGGGGGAGCTCGGAGGACGTGAACTCCCGGAGGCGACGAAGCCGCAGCTTCGGGTCCTCGTCTGCCTTTCAATAGAAGCCCCTTTACTATGGTTTAGGGTTTATAGGGTTTATAAGGTTTATAGGGTTTATAGGATTTATAGGGTTTATAGGATTTATAGGGTTTATAAGCTTTAGGGTTTAGGGTTTATAGAACAGGCTCTCGCAACTCGTCAGACGACGTCTCTCGGTTCAGAGTCGCACCACAGCGCGGCACGACAGGTAGGTTTCAGGTCAACACCCCGTAAGGGTTTAGGGCTTTCGGGCTTTAGGGTCTTTTTCCCCTCCTAGGGTCTTGGGGCTTTAGGGTTTAGGGGTTTGGGGGTTTGCAGGCTTGGGCCTTTAGGGCTTTGGACTCTGGAGGGTAACGTGGTGGTGCGTAAACACGTAGAATAGGGTCCTCCGGCGTATGATAGTAATTGTAAGTATAAGGATCTCTTGACTGTAAGGGTGCATTATTTCTAGTTGCTCCAATCTTGTCTAGAGGGCTTACAGTGTCGCAGTGCAACAACCCTTCGAGAACCTGATACAGGGTCACCCCCTTGTAATCCCTAATTACATTAGTATTTGGGTAGTTCTCTAAATTAGGATCCCGTTTAGGAATTATTTCAGTTTATAAGGGTACCGTACTACGGACCCTAATTAATTTAGACACATACCCGTATAGAATGCACACCACAAACCCCCTCCAGAGAGAGCGCCTGTGCCACAGCTGCTCGCTGCCTGAGCAGAGGACGAAACAGTGCTAGTATAAGGTGCCTTAATAATTGGAATAATGAATTCCAAAACATTCTGATAATAAGTGCTGATAGAAGGGCCTGGGTGAGTATAGAAACATGGTTTCTGAAATATTGTGACAGCAAAGCCTTTGGGAAGAAGATTCTGTTGCGAGCTCCTGTCCGTTTAAAGCATCAGGTTACGTAGTTGAAAGACCCTCGTAGTCTAGGTTCCCCAGTAGCCCCTACATATTAAAGGTACCCTTTTTCATACTATTTGTTTTATTAAGGGAGCCCAAAAAGAAAAACGGGCAAAAGGGTACGACTGGGGAACCTCGTAGTTAGGAGCATCCTCACAGACTCGTCACAACCCCTCGCCGCCTGTCGATCTTCTCCTGGTCCTCCGCCTTCTTTCGCATGTTGCCTTCGGTGAATCGCCTGCAAAAAAGGGCAGGAGGGCGCTAGGGTTGAGGGTTTAGGGTTTAGGGTTTAGGGTTTAGGGTTTAGGGTTTAGGGAACTCTCCCTGACAGCTAGCAGCTAGCCGAGAGCATCGACAACAAGTCGCGGTCTTGAGGCTTCGAATTTGGGTTCAATGTCGCGCTTACCCTGGCAGAGCACCATGATACAGGCCGGCAACGCAGAGGAAGCAGAGCCTGAAACTAGGCCCCAGCAAAAGAACAGATGCATGCGGGTAGTTGTCAAAATTAGGATCCCTTTTTGGGTCCTTATTATAATACGGCACCTATTATTTAGGGTCCATAATTTTGACAACTACCATCAACTACCTATGTGTCTCGGACGCTCCCCGGAGTTGAACCTCAATCAAGGAGCCAGAGAGCCAGAGACCAGTATGCAGGAGTGAGAACGGCCAGTAACCACACCCAAAGTCCGACCGCAGGAGACACGGCGAACCGCGGCAAACAGTTGACACGGGCGGGGGGCACAAAGCAGTGTCTGGAATGCAACTCTCCAACCGCAGGTCCCACCACGGGCCATGACAGTCATGACAAAAAAGGTGCCAACGGCCACCCGAATCTCAAGCCTCTCGAACTTCATGGCACCTTCTGTCTTGCCCGCGTAGTCCTCCTCATCCGATGCCTGTGGGCTTACGGGCTCGAGCGCTTCGCACGTTAGAAGTGAAGCCTGGGCTGGATGAGGCTCAACCTAAAACGTCTATGGCTGCGGGCGAAGAGACTTGATCCTCATACCCTGACTTTCACAGATCCTCAAGCTTTATCCTTATTGCAATCACGTGAAAGAAAAAGGTGCTATCCTGGGGCCATATCGGGAACAGGGGATGTCGTTGCTGAATTCTTCAAAAACTCCTGCAGTGCGAGCCGCAGCCCGAGCCCTGCCAAACACGCGGAAGCCTCGTCTCGGATCTGCGTGGAAAGCGTGCCACATGTCGGGCAGTTTTTGCCCTCCTCCTGGGATGTCGCTTGCAGAAGCGCTCGCCTCTGCCTCTGGACATGCCTCCGCCTTCTGCTGAATTACTACTGTTTTTTTACGCGCCTGTGGCCACGTCGTGCCACATTCTTGGCATTCGACTAGGACCATTGCCGATGACCATGGGGTGGCGCACAGGCCAGTCTGGCACTTGAGAGTGCGAGCGCCTTGAACCTACCAGTATTGACTCTCCTGCTGCCCGGTTTTGCGAAATGCACTACATCGAAATGAGGTGCTTTGCAGCGGGCATGTCTGCGACCGGTGCTGGCGGCAGTAATGCAGTGGTTCTACGTGAAGGTTTGCCAGCACCGCCTATCGGCTTGGAACACGTACCTCAAAGTGAGACCGTTACCATGTGGATTGTCGAGCTACTTTTCCTGGGTCTGCTCGGACCCTTGAGTGCCATCGTCGCGGAAGTGTTGCCACGTCCAAGTGCCATTCAGGAAAGTGGCCAACTGCATAGTTGACAAGTCAACACCTTTATCCCGGACATCCTGCAGGTGGTGTTGTCGACAGTGTAAGGAGGTTTCACAAAACAAGGGGAAACGCTGCAGGGAAGTGCGGCTACAGACTGGTGTTATCGTTTGGACCTTCTCGTGGGCCAGCCTATCATCAAGCATGGTTCCAGAAGTTCTATCTACGGCTGTATGCTCGGGTCAGCAGTCGGCCTCGTGGCTTTTGACATTCGTCTTTCCGGTGATCCCGGCCTGGGTGAAACTGGAGCCCATGCCAAATTTGCGAAGATCATCTGAGAACCACCAAGGTCAATCACATATCGATGCCTTCTAGGTGACTTCAATTTGCTCTCCTTCCAACTGGGCCCGCCACAGCTTGCACCAGAACGTCGACGGTGCCAGACTGTCTCAGCACCTTTGCATGCGGCAGTTCCTCGCCAGCTTCCTTGAGAGGACGTGAGCTGGCTCGCCTCGGCAATCGCCTCCTGCACCTGCTTCTCCTGCGGAATCGCAAGTCTTCTACCTAGAACCTCCTTCTACCTTCCATTAGACCCTAAATACCTACTAGGGACAAATTTGAGGGTACAAGGGGGTTCTTTCTTCGCTTCTTCGAATCCGATGTCAAAATAGAGAATACAATGAAGCCATATACGTTCATGCGGTGCGAACCACGCTCTCCCTCGCAGCGCGGCTCTAATTTCAAGGTGAATTCGTCTTAGCGTGGTCTGCGGATTGGTCCTTGAGGTCTCGGGACGTGGTCCTGGTGCGGTTCTCGACGTCGAGTATGCTGTGGGTCTACGGCAGCAAAACTTTTTGTGTGTCTGTTCACACCTCCAGCTGCTTTTAAACTCTAGTCGTATAGTAGAGGCGGCACGCAGCCGGCAGTGCTTGCAAGCAATACGCAGACAACCCTTGTCTTTTCTCCACTCGTCCGCATGCCAGAGCTGCATACACTCGGACTGAACGCCTGCAGGTCACCCCTACTGGCTACATCTTGGCACCCAGGTATGGTTTATGCTACGAATGATCTCGGCCGCCTGCCCCCAATGGGACTCAGAGTGCCAGCTGCACGTCTCTCAGCCTGGAGGCCTCGACGAAATCGACACCACCACTCTCGCAGCCTGAGACATAAAAAAGGAAAGGAATATATATATATATATATAAGCTCCGATCTACGACGGGGCCCAGAAAACCAGCCAAAAACCTGCGGACGAGCTGCGCAGCGCGTAGCTGGTAATGCCCTGCCGATGGACCACTTTCGTGACCACGGACACCTCAATAAATCAAGGAGAGGCTTCCGGAAGCCCCGCTGCCAATCCAGACCGGCAGCTTTACTCGTCTATCAAAAGCCTCCTATGGCAAACGTCTTCTTGACGATCTGAGGAGGCCCAAAACGCCCTTCATACGGCCCACGGCCCTTATCCCGACCTGCAGAATCTCACATGCAACGCGACAGCTCGACAACCCAAATCATTCTGCAAACTTTGCTACTTGCCTTTTTCTTCAGCGAGCTCGCTGCAAAAGCTCCATGTGCTGAGGTTGAAGTCAAGAAAGTAAAGACCCCTTCGCAATAATTAACATATCTTCATTAGACGTGGTTCTCACTTGATCCTGCTGCAATACTGGGTAAAAGACCTTCAAAAGCGGGGCTTATTAACCGGCGGTGGACATTTCATTTAAGTTGCACATGCACGCGGAGACCCGCACATCTCACAAGCAAGGCCGACTTCATGGTCGTTGAGAGCTGCAGGAAATCTCGACATTACCCCAAAACCTAAAGCTGAAGACTCAAACCCTATGCCCTAAACCGGCAGAAAGCATTCCGCTGTCTTCGGCAGGAGACACCTATAGACCCCTTTAAGGGAACCTTGTAGTACCCTTATCAAAACCCTTATGGATCCTGTTAAGGGAACCCCCAAAAAAACCTGACCCTAATAAGTAGAATAAGGTTTTGGGGTATATTTTTACTATAGTTATAATAAGGAACCCCCCAAAACCCTATTCTAATTATTAAGGCCCCTTATCAAAACCCTAATGGATCCTTTTAAGGGTTTAGGGTTTAGGGTTTAGGGTTTAGGGGTTAGGGGTTAGGGTTTAGGGTTTAGGGTTTAGGGTTTAGGGTTCAGGCACCCCCAAAGAGACCTGCTTCTTCCCCTACCCTCAGCTCTGGGAGGCCCTAGGGCGCTGCAACCACGGCACCTTGGGAGCCGAGCGCTGCACACCTCCGCCCCATGCATCGATGAGGTCCTCTTTGCACAGATGCCACCACTACTACTACTACTACTACTACTACTATGACTACGGCTACCGAAACTCAAAGTCCGAAGCCCCAAACTGCCATTTTTTGCATCTGGTCTTGTGCAGTCGCCAGAGACTGGCCTCAGCTGCCCTAAACCCTAAATTTTGGGGATTTAGAGCTTCAGGGATGCCTGTACCTAGTCAGCACGGCTGTGCAGCAACATCATCCATTGTAAGGCTTTTCGTTTTCTGTTTCTCGTTCTATAAATGAGGAGTACCTCACGTAGGTGTCTTTGTCATGCGAATCCTGCTACCTTGTGCCCTTTGTCTTCGCGTTCCTGATTTCCGAAACTCCCATTTCACTAGCTGCTTTTGTCCCCTGCTCTGTCCAGAGAGTAAGCCACGACGTTGCCTTTCTTCAACGTCGCGGCGTCGACAGCCGACCAGTTCCTTGCATGGCTTCCGTTGCTGCTCATATGCTTTGTCTCGGCTAGCCTGCCAGATGTCCCCGATAGCACGGGTTGTGCACTTCTGCAAAACGCTCGAAATCCATCGGCTACCGAAAAAGCCGAGATCTTCCTGGGTCCTTCAGAAGTCGTAGGAGCTTCGGGCTTCGGGCTTCCGTAACGAATTCAACGGGCCAGGGGCCCAGATGGCCCGGAAGTGGAAGGCCTCGAAGTTCGAAGCTGCCTTCCATGTTCAACAAGCTTACTCTGCTTCGGGGTTCGGGTTTCTGGACATTCACCAGGACTTGCCTATGTTTCCCGCTTTGCCTTTGTTGACTGTGTGCCATGTGCAGCCGTCTTTTGCATCGCCAGCGCTTGAAGACAGCAAGCTCCACTCTGCTCCCACCTGTCTCTACCACGGAATCCTGCCTTTGCAAAGCAGCGTTCTGGGTCTCCAACTCGGCGATCCGCTTCGCCTCCAGCAAAACCACATCATCCATGAAGAGGGTCCATTTACCCTATGAAAACTAATACCATCACCACGTCCTACAACCCTACAAAACCTTCGAACAACCCCACAAAACCCTATAAAAAAATCCCCTAAACCCTTTTGAAACCGGAAACCCTAAACCCCAAAGCCTAAACCCATGAACCCTGTCCAGCCACTCAAACCCAACGCCCCCACTGCCCTCCCACCTGCGAAGCCAGCAGCGCCTCGAGGTCTGCCAGCCGCTCCGCTGCACCTGAGATCATGTTAAAGAAAAGAGAATATGTGTTTTGGTATCTGCATAAATACATTTTGTATATATATATATATATATGTATGTATGTCTGTAGGCATATGCATGGTATGCATGTGCGAAGCTATACAGATGTGTGAATATGCAGATGTGCGGGTACACACATGTGCAAAAAGATATATAGACATGTCAATATACATGGATGTGCAGACCTATGTATGTGTGTAAATATAGATAGAGATAGGTGTGTGTATTTATGTCGTATATTATGCATTGCGCACAATATGCCATGTACTAGATGTTAATTAAACTGTTAAGCACTACATCTTCTTGCATCAACTCTTTTTCCAACATGTTTCTATGATATCTGGAGACAACGTTGCAGATTATACACTGGACTCCAATCGGCTAAGGCTTTAAAGCTTCCGCATACGAGATCCTTGTTCGAGGTACTTGTATCCAAGTTTACATGAAGGTTCCTCATCTGAGGGATCTTCTTTCCGGTCTCTGAGTTCCTGATGAATTTGCGGGTTTACGATCTTTGCCGTTTTTTGTGCCAGTTGCCATTGAAGCCAAAGCTCTGTCAGACGCAGGGCGCGAGTTTCCAGCTGCCTTCGCAGGTGTCGCAGGCTCGACCGCTGGCTTGGCCGGCGTAACCACGCGTCGAACTCCTTCCATGAAGTGAGGCATCCCGCTACTAACACCTTTTAAACCTTAATATGTTTTTTTCCTCACGGACTTTTCCGCCTGCAGGAAAGTGTCACAACTATATGTTTCGTACGAATGCCTGGTCTCGTGTAGCTGCATGGCTGCATGATGTCCGGGAGCTCGACGGCCTGCTATCTCTATGCAAGCGCTGCCCAAAGCAACGCAGGCTTCCTGCCGCTTTATGGGTGATTGTGGTAACGAGCACTTGGTCCAAAGCCGATGGAGCATGCCTCTAACCGACGGACTTGTGACATGCGAGGCCCAACATCAGCTATGGTCGGTATGGTGTGCAGTTGGAGTCCGTGTGCTTCCTTGCCCACATGTCCTGCGATGGGCGTGCGTTCCCTCGCTTTCATCGATGTCGCAAAGTCTAGTGTGTGGGGTGGCTGTAGGTGTCAGCTGTTCAGCTGACCGTAATATGGCAGTCGGAGCTACCTACGACCTCCTGAACAGCTAGCTGCAAAAGGCCATCAGGGAAATGTCAAGGGAGAGAGACATCTCCGGTCTGAGAACCAATTGAAAGCCAAAAACAAGACTGTGCCATCTTTTGCCCCAACATACCCACCGCGACGCAAACATCTGGCAGTATTTCTCGTCATGCTGATGCTGGGTTTCCGGAATTTCGTACTTGAAGTATGCGGAAATGTTACAGCGTCTACCAGTTGCACTCGATAGGGCCACTGGAGTACGGAATGGCCCATTCTCCGGACAGTAACATGTGCGCCAAAAGCAGAAGCAGACTGACTTGACTTGACCCATCCCCACGCATCCTGCCACAGGTTCTCCCTGTGCCGGAGCGCTTGCCTCAGTCGCACATGCTATCCATAAATTTCCATCAAAGAGATCGGCCAAGTGCCTTGCGGACTGGCATGGGCCAGCATTGTGTGCAGCTCTGCCCTTTGACTTGTAACGTTGACGCCAGGTCATCCAAGCCACACCCCTACCCGTTCGACCCTCCCTTACATTTCATGGTCGTGCCTTCCGCTTCGGCACCCTCACGGCGCTAGTTTGGTCGCCTCTCACAAACACTGCAGATTACTACCGGCCTTTGATGGCAAGGCCAAGACAGCATCTCTCCGAGTCGTGGTTATTTGTGCGACACGCCAGCACTTGGCCTGCGGGAGGGTGAACGTCACGACGTCGGGGCTTGGAACCTTGTGGACCTCAGAATTCGAAAACTGGTCATGGCAGTTTGCCGGCGAGCTCAAGCACGACTACGGAACATGTTCTTGCCGAAGAGCTGGGTGTGTCTGCAAGGGCCCGGAAGCTCAAAGCTTCGGCGGGGTACACCTAAGACGTATGCCACCACAGTCATGGCATCCTGAAAATGTCTTGAAACCAGCCAGAAAGCCCAAACTTCATCGTCTTGCCGGAGAATGCCTCGGAATGCAACCACAACCAATGGCAGCCAAAACAACACGATCCTACCATGCGGCCATGTCGCTCAACGGCTCATTCGGCGGCACTGCAAAACCAGGTGGTACCTGAATGAATGTTGCAGCAAGAACAGACCATGACTCGAGCACTACCGCGAGTACGGACAGCAAACAACCGCATGCTGCAAAGATGATCATTGCTCAGGAACCATAGCGACCCAATTCTGTGATCTTCCAATGTATGTAAGAGGAGAAAGTATTTAACAATCTCATTCGGGACACCTAACAAGCCACCATAAACCCACCTATCGACCTGGCGAACTAACTAACTAACTAACTAACTAACTAACTAACCAACTAGCTAGCTAGCTAGCTAGCTAGACTAGCTAGCTAGCTAGCTAGCTGTCTATTTGGTTATCTTTCTTTCCCCCTCCGGCATTAGCTAGCTATCCCTTTGCATATCCATCAACCTTTCTATGCACACCTGTACCTGCAGACATTTACATTGCAAGAAGATATGCGTGCTTTCGTCTGGGGCGCATATACTGCTGGCTGATGTGAACCACTGCGCTCGGCCAACCTCAGTTCTGTTTAGCAATGCAGATTCCACCACCACCGGCATTATCTCAAAAACAAGCTACTGTCGGGGTGGACATCTAAGTCAATGCCACGGTTCAATCGGCAGAAATCGCCGACAGTTCCTTGAAGCAAGTCCTGGCACCGGGTTTTTGACGAAGCTTTCTTTTCACAAATCAGCTACGGCGGTGATGATCAATAGTCTATGCCGGTATGTTGTCTGTCCTGTGGGACGTCCACCGCAACCTCCGTTTTCAACCGTGGCGGCGCCCGAGGGCGTGCACTCCCCAGGCAGCGCAGTTGCATGGCGATGGTTCATGCAATGTTCATGCATCTGGTTGCCGGCTGGTTCATCTGGTTCATTGAAATAGTGAGTGGGCCAATTACGGACATTCAAATTCAAAAGGGTGTATTGCATGAATCAGCAGCTGATGCCACCACATCTTTTTGGGCTACTACACTTCTTCGCTGCTGCAGCTGCATGCAATTCCGCACCATGTAATTACGTCGAGGCGACGGGTGTAACATCCAACTCAAACCCAGCAAGGTAACCGCAACTACCGCAATGCGTGGTGTGGCAGACTGATGCCCCTGATGGGCGCTGTCCTCCGCCAGATCCAATTGAATCGCGCCAATCTTGACGCCGCCTGGGGCCACCTTCAATGTCATCGAACGTGTTGGTAGAGCCAACCGAGCAGTATACATGTTGTAAGACACGAATGCTTGTTCAGGGAAGGGTACAAGTAAGATCGGCGTTGCCACCGTTGGTTTGTCATGGCTTGTCGCGAGCATTCCTTCCAATTTTTGTTGTTGGCAACAATATCCTCTTTTTTTGCCGGCCTTTTGCAACCTTTTTCCCCACGCACCTTTTCCCAAAGAAATCCCGTTCGCGGCAGCAGTCCGCTGCCACCCGCGCAAACAGTCAGAGGGTTCGTCGCCGCGGGTGCAACAGCACGAGGCTTGCAGGTCCTCAACACGGGAGATGTGCTGGATGAGAAGGTCATGTTCTGCGCTCTTGAGCTCCAGTCTGGATGCGTGAGCCCTTTTTCGGGAGGTGGCAGCGCCCAGTCCCCGGCCCAGACCTGGGAGTTTACGTCCAGCTGCAGTGCGGAGATTCCGGGGGGCTCCTCTCCGGCGGCGTTCCAAACACGGGTTTTGGAGCGGTTGAGCGCGACATGCGCGCGGTGGGCGAGCGGGTGTGGACACGATGTAGGTGCCGTCGAGGTAGGCGCGTATCGCTTCACCGTCCCTGAGCTGCGACTGCACCTCCTCGAGCGCAAGTTGTTGGGCAAGGGCGTAGAACGCGCTTCGTCAACCCAAAAACTAGAAACTGGGAGAGCCATATAGAACTGGCAGGAGAAAGGGGGGAGCGGGCGCAGGTCCGGGCGGCCAAGAACGCGCCGAGCGTGGCCTCGCGAGTAACATGGTCAAAGGCCCCAACTGCGTCGACGGAAAGGATTGCAGCGCGGGCACCATCCTCGGCAGCCGCGTGGAGGACGCGCGACAAAGCCTTGCTGCTTTCACGCGTGCTGAGGCCGTATTGGTGGAGGAGACAAGCCTGCTCAAAGTGTGGTGCGAAAGCTTGTGCCAAACCAGGCGGCGTAAGGCGACGCCAACTACCAGTGCACGGATGCCGCGGACATTCGGCTCCCAACAAATTTGCGAATCTTTTCGCTGGTCTGTTTGCTGGAGCAACCCCTCGGCTTGGGTGAAAAGGCAAAGCCAAACATCGCGATTTTTTTTTCGGATTGGCCGATATATTTTTTTATTGCGCATCCGCTGCCGCACTATATAAACTCGCGGTTACGGGGTCGAAGTCTACCGCT